GTTTCTTTCTTCCTCTAGTCAGTGGACAAATCAGGATGAGTCATCGAATCAATAGCAAATTTCGAACACACTAATGCACTTAGTAGTGCACCATTTGTGCCAATTTTTAGAAGGTTTTTCTTGGTGTGATTTTGTTCCTAAAAATGAGCTAGACCTTCTAGTGTAATTAGACTTTTCGGCCTAAGAGCCGTTTCCGAGAAAATCGAAGTTTCTGTAGACCAATCTTGAGGGTGGGTGTGGGGGTGGGTGTGCCAAAGGAATTTACACACACCCACACCCCTCCTAAAAGGGTATATTACTTTTGTCCGATACGTCTGGAATCGGTCTTGATAGTTGGTTCCCATATACAGTTACGACGAATCTAAATAGAAAAAAAGATTTATTGATAAAATACTTTTATACTTACATTATTTTGTGTTTGATATTAAACTAAACAAAGGAAATAAATATTAATAAATATTAAAGAAAAATGATACTTACTTTTAACACGATGTTGACATGAATTTAAATAGAAAAAAAAGAAATAATTATTTCTAAAATATTTTTATACTTACACTATTTGTTTGATATTGAAATAAATGAAGAAAAACATAAGATATACAAATAGATATGTGACACGATATATTGCCTTTTAATACATTGTATCAATGGACCGAAATAAAAAAAAGGATATAACAGAATAAAATACCCTTTGTAAGAAAATAATAAACCCTTTTCTCGAAATCGTAGAATAAAATACCCTTCAAGATAAAATCATATACCCTTCTCCTTAAATCTCAGATTAATAAATCCTTTTTTTCATATATCCTCTTCTTTTCATAAACCCTTGAAGGGTTTAGCATGATTTGTAGTAAGGACAAGGGTTTATTATTCTACGCTTTTTTTTATAGTGCGATTGTATGCATCCGATATATTTCGTTCAAGTAAAACATGATAATATTTCTCTTCTGTTTTTGAGATTTCATTCTGAAGTTACGTCTCTCGAAAATCAGGCATTATAAAATGTATAGCATCAAATTGTTTACTATGAATATGCGTATTGTTGGGGTGGAGGTGGAGGTGGGGAAGGAAACAGTTGTTTTCAAATTTATTGCTTCCCATAAAAGATTGAACCTGCGCCACCCATGTAGATAGGTAGAATCGAAATCGGAATTCTATCTCCGGAAGCGTTGGTCTATAGCCTGGCAAAATTTCTCTTAATCCTCTGTTTTCAATTTTTCTTATAATTTTTCTTGCATTATCTTCTGTTTCATTTTATTGATTTTCTGTGCTTTATTAGTAATGCAGAGCCCTGAAGAATGTTTCAATGTTTAAACAAAATACAGACGAAACGCGTGTGCGAAATTTAATGCTGCATTAATTTTAAATTTAGTTTTAAGCACAATTTTATTTAGCACTTATTCAAATATTCAATTTGTTTTCGACCTTGATCGATTGCTGAAAAGCAAGAATTGAGAATAGCAGATTGATTTGTCTTTTTGTTAAAGGATAGGTTGATCTGTTTTCATTCGATTTATATGTATTCTAAACAGATCAAGTGTGACACGATTTTATCGGTAAGTCTTTATATTTTGGCAGAACGTCCAAAGTTTCGGATATTCCGTTGTAATTGACCAATCGTGACGCATGATTATAGAATTCTTGCCATTGAGCAGCTAATGTAGGAGTCCATTCAATCTTATTTATCCAATCCACTGTCTCTGTATAATTCGATATTGTCCTATACAACGAGAAACAAAAGTTTAATCATTAACCGGTCAGACTTTGAACTTACAACGCTAGGTTGCTTATGGCGTGCCATGCATCGGGGTGGTTCAGCGTAAAACACGCGTTCAAATTGTCTTGGCGAGGATAATAAGTTAATTGATGAAAACACATTTCATCTGTTGTTCGTTCACCACCCTGACAATGATCAATTAATATATACATCTATACAAAATGAAATAAATTTACCAATGTAACAATATTCTTATTAATAGTGTTGTACACACATTGTGTAGCAAACTCGTCGCCCTAAAGAAAACATGTCTTATCAAAGTTAAAAATCAATCAGATGATCTTGATTCTAATCGGATACAACTTGATTGGTTCTGGTAGTCGATTGTCAAATTGATAGTTGAAATCGTATCTTTCAGCATTGAAAATATACTGTACTGCTGCATTATTTCGAATCAATTTCGTCCACAGTGAAGTGCCTATGTGTATATCGATAACTCGATTTTTATTTAAATTTAACCTCAACATACCTTGAAGATGCGTATGAGCGAATGCAGAAACCACGGTGATGCCAGATTCCGGAATATTCTAAGCGAAGATTCTCTTATTATTTTCCGAGGTACGGGCAGATTTTTCTACAAAACATGGAACTATAAATTTAAAAAGGATGACTAATGGTCACAAAGTGATTCATTGGTCAATCTATCAAATTTCATTCAGTAAAATTCTATTAAAATGAAATTTGGGTATAATACTGCCAATAGCAGGACTGGCAAGGGTATCTCTGGAAATTTCGTGCCCTATTTGGCTTTTTTATTTTGTTGTGGAGATATCCATTATGAAATACATCGGCAAAGAGTGAAACAGTAAATATTAGCCCCCATTATATTTAATTTACTTCTTCTCGAGTTATTTGATTTTCTATGCAGCTTTATACTTCCAAAATGAAACTAAAGTTAATTTAGTTTTAAATCTATACTCAAGGGATGTGATAATGTGTTTTAATATAGAATTGACCGAAAATCATAAGAATCAAAGGCAGAAATGATAACAACCATTGACCAAACTTCTAGCTCTCTCGAATAATGAACTATGAATAATAGATGCAGAAAAGTTAGTTGATCATTGAAATTGAAAAGGCGTTTTGCTTTTAATAAGAATTAGTTGAGAAGGTTCATACGAGTTCTAGCACATCCACATATACAAATAGATTATTGTGCACTGATTCAATACTTAACATATCGTAAAGTAAAATGTTGTATTTCTTTAGTTGATATTATGTTTCATAATTCAATCGTTTTTTCAATCGAATATTCTATTTCAGAATTAATGTTAGATGCCTTCGCGATATACTTCATTCTAACTCTTAAGTACCCCATAGCAAACTAAGATTTGATAGCTATGATTTGTGATTTTTGAGAAGAAAAAACATGAGATCCGAAGTATACTTTGCTGAATCCGCTTGGACAATACGAGTCGACGATGAATCGCTCGACTTTTGGTGGAATTGCTAGCGCAAGAGCGCTGACAACAGTTCCGAATGACATATAGCCAATATCATATTGGCGAAGTTGTTTTCCAATGTAAAATCGAATACCAGTATTATCACGACGATCTAAGCAAGCAAACACGTTTTCGACATTGCATTTATATTATTTTTGAAATTTTATCATAAATAAAGTTTTATACTTGGTGTTAGTTTTGGATTATTATAGTGTATCTCAAGCATGTAATATTTTGTTGCAAAATCACCACCAACAGGATAACCAGCTTCTTCTGGAAATTCGACAAGCTACATAGATAAATCATTATTCATGAAATTGAACCTGAAATCGAGTTTTAGAAAGAGCGAGTCTTACAGTCTCACCGCCTACTGCCAAAATAGTAGAGGTGCCAGTGAAACAAGCAGAAAGTTCTTGGTAATGATCATCACGTACACCATAGGGCAGATTGTTATCATCAAATTTAGCTGTTGGATTACATGCAAAGAACACAAGATGGTGAACCATATCGATATTATTCGGATCGATCATTGTTTTATGCTGCAAGAAATAATGAAGTTTCAGATGGTGTAAGAGAAAAACATTCAAAAAATTTACAGCAATGGCGTGACGTTTTATTGGATATTCAATCGGAGCTTTGAATACTTTACAATAATAAGTTGTGTCATTGGCTGGAACAACATCCTAAAAAACATAGAGATCGGTGATAATGTCACAGAAGATGCATGAGATTGATTCACATTGTTCATGCGAAATTCAAAATAATCGAGATCGGTAAACTTATTTTCTGGCGGTGGATTTGCATATGATTGAAGTGGAATCATGCGTGAACCACGCCGACCTTCATGGTAATTAATATCACCAACTGGATCGGTAAGACCATACGCATATATGACGATAATCGTTCCAGACTATAATCAAAATTGTCACTATAATGAGTATAGCACACAGAATGAATACTCAACTATAATCGAAACATCCATGGGATCACATGTGTCAAGTAAACGTTTGAATTGAATGGCAGTCCATCCGTCAGATTCATGACCACGTTGGGCAAGCCAATTGCTAGTTGTATTATCGATGATCGGCAAAGCGAAATCGGATGCATATCGATCCTTTATACAGAATATATTTATTCAGATGATATGGAATATTTCAACATACTTGAAAATAAACTTTTCCCGTATTGTCAACCCATCCAACTCCAATATCAGCACCTTTCATGCCACCACCTATAGAAAGAATATTCGTTGTACAACTAGAATAGATCAATCTGTTGATATTTTACCTGGACTAATGCCTAAAGCTATCCACCCTGTAGTTTTCATGTGCAATTCAAAAGTGATCTCGTTAGCATCATTATCCACTGTCCACCAAAGATCGGCTATATCCGGTTGTAGTTCAGTTGAGTATCTATACGTGGTGAACGGCTGAATCGGACTGGAAATAGCAACAGCATCTCCGATAATTAATAGTATGATAATGAATAGCATTGTTCGAAGTGTAACAGCACTCGATCAGCACACTGAGAACTATATGCGTATATCAATTTTAAGCATACAGGTATATATTGGTAATATATATAAGCGAGAAATAGTGAAAGCAAATACGACTCATCTAACATTTAGAATAGATTATTGTTATTAAAGACTTAGACCTTTCAATAAGATAGTACTATATATAAGACGAAAAGCCACCTCGATATTTGCTCTGTATTATGAGATTGCTTACGATGACTGGCTGTGTGTTGGTCAATCGTGTTTGTGAATATTATCAACAGGTTAATGAAGCCATAGATCAAATCTTAAGTAGCATCCAATGGTAGTATATACCAGTGGCGGAGCCATGGGGTGGCTAGAGGGGGCTCAGTCCCCCCTACCGAGATTTTAGAAAATGCATTTTTTTATATAAGTGTGTATTAATGTTTCCAGTTTAATATTTTAACAAGTGCTGCCAGGTAGCGAACTCAAAAACGCAGAAAAAAGCGAGAAAAACTTTTAGAATCCCCGAAAAAATCCAGAAAATTTTTCAAAATTCCCACAAACACTAGAAAAACTTTCTAAATTTCCAAAAAAATCCAAAAGAACTTTCAAAATCCGCATAAAATCCGGAAGCAATCCAGCAAAATATTTTAAATTCCCCAAAGAAATCCACAAAAGCTTTTAAAATTCTCAAAAAAATCGAGAAAAATTTTCAGAATTCTGAAAAAATCCGAAAAAATTTTCAAAATCCCTAAAAGACTGCAAAAAGACTTTTAAAATCCGGAAGAAATCGAAAAGAATTTTCAAAATCCGAAAGATCTGACAAGACTGTTCCTAAAGCACGCTTTTAAAAGTGACCCCCACCCCCAATTTTTGGATGTTCGCGTCAGCTCTTAGGGGCCGCGCGCCCCCCCCCGCCCCCCCTCCCCCCCCCCCCCCCCCCGTGCA